TCATGCTCTCTTTACTTCAAGTTACCCAATAGTTTTGCAATGACTCATCATGGTCAGCCTCTTCCTCTTCCCAAACTTCACAGTCATTCAACCATTCATTACGTCATGGCTGATATTCTTAAACAGGGCAGTAACAATTCAACTAAGACACTATGTACTCTGAAAAGCATCACATCTGGTGCATAAAAAGGGACTGAGCAAAAGTAAGAATTGAAACAAGTTATTTTTACAAGACTGCTCATTCAACAGGTTAATATAAAGTCAAGTTACATGTATGTTTACTCTTTTTTCTGATATAACCACTCCATTCTTTGCTAACAAACTGCAAACTGGAATGTGTTTGGAATTTGCACACATACACTCATTGGAAAAGAGAAGTTTTTCTGTTGAAAAAATAGAAATCAAGACCAAACATGCAGGTCCCACTAGTTCCAGCTACTGGAGCTGAAAGTAAACAATTTTAGCCTTTACAAGTTTTTTTGCATCGCGTACCTACTCTTTATTTAGGTGTCACACTTACTAGCACATTTAATATCAGCACATCTGTTTGTGTTTCTCTATCCAACAGAAGAAATCTTTTCATAAGTCACATCCTATCTGTTTACATAGCCACTCCTCTCTACAGCCCCATTCCCACACCTCATCTTTTTTGGTTTCTTACTTTATGTTGTTATGCTGAAATTCTCAAGTTATTTCCTCATGCACCACTTGCTTTCATTCAGCAAAGCAAGAAGAAGATGTGCCCGTTCATGCTTTCCTCAGCAGAAAGTGTAGTACCATTTCACATTTCATGTTTTTTAATGGGGCAAGTAGCGTTCTGATATTACAATGATGAATGCCATGTGAATGTCGAGGTAGATGGACTGAAAGGCATCATTAATGATATGTATTAGCAGATCATTGAAAGGAAAAGGCCTCTGTAAAAGAAGAGAGGAAGGCCTCTATTAGGGTCTATTAGGAAAGCAAAGAAAACAAACTGTGGTACTGTATTGACTTTGCTCAGACAATAGCCACAACACTGGTCTCAAGAAGGATAAAACACATTGTATGCCAGTAAGTCCTGGTAGGGTATCACCTTTCTTGGAGGTGTTATTAGATGGTGCCATTTTATGTCAAGACCTTGATATCCATTTATCTACAGCGATAAAGGTAGATATAAAACTGTCCTGATAAGGAACCATGTAGTTCATTTATTTAATAAAGTATTCATTTTGGTAATAACCTGCCTGTCCTGGATTCCACTGAACTTCCTGTCTCTATCTGAGCTGTTGCATTTTCAGAACATTGGAGTGATCCCACCATCATGGCAGTCTCAATTACTTTAAGTGAAAATGTTTCAGAACCCAACATTTAAAACAAGTCACTTGAATCACAAACACTGAAGAGTTGTCTAATGCTAGACTTATTTCTGAGAGAAACTTACAGTTCTAGGCATGGTGTTACTGCACTGGTGCTAGGCAATATCAGAAGGTTACAAAAGGCATCACTTGTGGCTCTTGCTGAGTTCGCAGGTGCTCTGAGCCTTAATCTACAGTTACATGAAACTATATAGAAGAGAAGAAGAAGCTCCAAAGAGAAGAGAAGCTCCAAAAAGTTCAACAATCATTTTTTTACTCTTAATGTACACATCCAACTGTCTGTATAATACCAAAATACCCACACTGAAAATGCAATGCAAATGATTTTTTTTCTTAAATACAACAATATTTTGACACTTTTGGTTCTTCATAAAAACTAGAAGTAAAAAAAAAAAAAAATTCCCTACCAGTCTTTGAAGACCTGCAAAACATTCAAGTTCTGGAAATGCATGAACTATCCCTAGTAACAATGCATATTTTGGTCCTAGGCTGCACTTATTTCTGTCCTGGCTGGTATTTGCGGCATGATCATTAAAGACAGCTGCCCAAAATTATCCTTGTTTGCATAATGCAATTCTTCATGGGTCTAGCACATAGCTAGAAAGGTAATACAGATACTAGCATTGCCCCCAAATTCCCCATACTTTTGCTTTCAATCCACCAACAATCTCTACAGTCAAGAAAAGACTTACAAAGTAATACTAGACATGGACATACTCACTCTGACACTTTGTCTCTAAACATCTCACCTGAAACCAAAAAAAAGGAAAAAAAAAAGAGATTTTCCAGGGCCTTTCCTAGATAAAAACAAGTATTTCTGGATATGGCTACCACCAGTAGGCTTTTGCTGTTGTTGCTTCTATATGCGAAACGATTTTAACATAAAAAGAGTACTTACCTTGTGGTCTGCATGGAGCAAAAAGACCCTCAAATTGACATCATTAGGTGGAAATGCATATGGATCCAGCAAGCCCTGTTGATATGAATTGCACAGAGATTTTTTCCCTTAATTCCCACCTAGTAGCCAGAATAAAAAGATTATTACACTACTAAACTATGACTGGCTTATAGAAAGTTAGAAGGGGAGAATTTGTGATGTGCACTTTTCTTTTTTCAAGCTTGCATACCAAACGTGTATTTTGCCTGTAGCCAACAGAAAAAGGTGATTCCATAATCCTGGCCAGCTGCCTAGGGACAATAATGTTTTTATGTTGCCACTTTGTGGCCCTCTAACACTTATTTCTCTCCTTACTTTTCCATAATACTATTTTATTTTATTATACACTAAGCCTAATCTTTCCAGCTTAGCAATATGTCACCCTACCTTAGACAAACAATGTCCAGGGTCAATGAGGTTACTCAGTTAAGTTGGCACTTTCCTCCTAATTAAAATTTTATGTCAGAGCAGAGTTCTTGTTGACATCTTTTATTGCACAGCTATCCAAGGATTAAAACTGGGAGGGGCTGGGTTCCCAGTGTAGAAGAGCATATGCTCACTTAGCATTTAAGCATTTCAATAATCTCCATGTTTATCTTGCAACCCTGTAGATATTAAGAGTTATTCTGCATCAGAGACCAAAGAATAAGAAATACACAGAACTGAATTTGAAGTCTGGATCTATAAAAGACTGCCTCTCTAATTTATTGCTCATGAATGGCAACATTAAATGGAGGAGATAGAGCCTGTTTGTGCCATATAATAAAGTGAGTTTAACTTAAGATCGAGACTGATAAACCAGGCAAATAAGTACCATGGCCAACTCCCAGGACTGCAAACTGGAAATACAGCCCACTGATAAAAAATTCACTGTGCTCCTTTTTCAATAATCAGTGAGATTTGAGGGTTTTTTGTATTGAATTGCGCTGTGTACATTAATACAGAACGTTTAATATGAAGTCTGTAGGTTTCAAGTAGACCTTGTGAACAGCAAGGCAGACAAGGTCAAGAGTCCAATTTCCTATAGCAATACTGTAATAACTATGCATTGTCAGAAAAGCATGAAAGTGAGAATGGGGATGAGAAGTTTTTATATCATTTTTGCAAAGAGAAACTGGAGTATAAGACGTAAGTGTGAATCAGGATGAATTTTTAATTGCCTTCTGAGATATATAACAATGTGTAGTCACCTACGGGCTTCTTTTTGAGAGTGCCAAGAATTCACTATCATTAAGGATAAAGGAATGAACACACTACTAGGTGTGGGGGGGGATTACTACACACACATCAGCATATGTCCACACACATCAGTATATGTCTATCTGTCCTTTTTTTTGTAAGAATGGTTAGTGTGCCTTTATAAGCACAGCACCAAAACATATATTGAAAGAAAACAGGGCTGGCCTGGGCTGTCTCACTCCAAAAAGTAGATATTAGTCTCTTTAGCAAATAGTTTTGTTAGCTTAATTTCAGAGGAGCTGAAGTAATAAAAGGCTGACAAACAATGAACAAACTATTGTCTCAAGGCATTTGCTAGTAGAGTACTTCAGAGGACTTCAATAATGATTTGACGTTTAGGAAGCTCTTCCTAAGAGAGATTGTGTTTAGAAAAGCATTTAAGATTACCAAAAAACAAAAAAACAAAAAAATCTCCTTTCACATGTTTTTGGGTTAATTTTCCCTAAGGAACTTAAGTTTCCCCTCTACTCCCTCCCAAAAATTAAATTTAAAAATCTAAAGTTGATCTTTGAATTAAACTAACATGTATCATTCTAACACAGAACATACCATCAATGCAATTAAGAGGAGGTCAGTAGGAGGAAATTGCTTTTTTTTTTTTTTTTTAAACAGATAGCAATTAGATGTCTATAAGAAAATGTTGCTTTTGGATAATTTGTGGGTTTGTCTAATTCTAAAACAAATAACCCAATTAGTTGAAGACAAACACTTTTTCCCCCCCTCCACATGCACAAAAAGTCTTCTTCTGCCTCCCCCAGGTTACTGGATAACCAAGAAATCTCACATATGTTATGTTGCCATTCTCTTACAAAAAGTGGTTGGCCTTCCCATAGGCAAAGTAGCAACCAGCTGCCACCCTGGTGCCTGTGTCACCTGGCCTTGTGTTACTACTCAGGGTTTCCATCCCTCTTGCCCCAGGACAGCACGCTGGTAGAAGCAGGGTGCTAGGACTTGGAGGCAAAGTTATTTTACGCACAGAAACCGTCTACGTTTCTCAAGTCCACACCACAAAATTCTTTCCTTTAGTTAGCTCCTTCCCACCGCAGGGGCTTTGGACATAGCACTTTCCATTTCTGCAGGTGGTGGGAAGTACCCTGGGCTGGAGGCTGTCCCCTTTGCTGCCCGTCAGTGCCCTCCTTAGACCTGTGAGCTAGAGCCTCTCCATTTGTGGAAACAGTACAATTTCCAAGAACAGAAAAAAGGTTTTGGGTTAGTCAAGAGCCTCAAGGCCCAAGACAATGAAGTTTAATATGAGATATTTAATATAAGACAACAACAACAAAATCCTCCCATTAAAGGCAGAAATCAGTTACAGGTGAAAGGTGGGTTGATCTTTAATTGCCATTCTGAGTACAGCTTGTGACCTGCGGAAAGTTAAGTGTTGCAATAATTAACTGTTGCTGCCATCTACTGAACACAGGAATTATATACTACAGAGTTTTATAGTTTGGCTAGTGATCAAGTGGGAAACTATTTGCTTTGCTAGATTTGCTAAAATATCTCTTTCATAAGAGCAAACACCTTTCTCTCTAGATGATGTTCAGGAGAGTTTCCACTTTTATCCCTTTTAACTGTTACAGCTGTGTAAGTACATGATTCTGCTTTAGAGATTGTCTGTCCCCCTTTGGGGGAATACTGAATTCTCCTTTGAGGAGTCACTCCTAACCTCGGGAGCAATAGTGAAAACTGGGTTTTGTGAGGAGCATATAGAGCTCTCATAATATCAAATACATTGCTATCAATAATAAGAAGTTAACAGTTATTTTATGATTGCAGCTTTTAAAAATATTTGTATATGCTGAATTTTCTTTAGTCAGTGACTGAGAACTTCATCGCCTTTGCTAGGATAGGGAGATGCCCTTCTGTGGCAGTTTTGGTTTAGATGAAGGTGCTTCCAGTGCAAAAATGCTGGCATTGGCACTACCAAGATACTGCAGGACATGACTGAAGTGAGGCAGGCTGCTGAGGAAGTTCTCGAGCCAGCAAACGCTGCAGCTGACCCAGGGCTTTGTTTTATTCAGGGACAGAATGAGCTCCTGCATGTCCCAAAAGCTGTCACTGGGTGTAGGCAGGGGCATTCCAGCATGTTCACGCAAATATGCAAGTGTTATGTTTTCTTTTTTTTTTTTAAAGGGCATACTAGCACACAAAATAGCAACAAAGTCACTAAGTGCAAGAAATCTGTTTGCAATGTATATAAAACATATGTAAGTATGTATTGCTTACCTACATGGTATATATGGACACTCACAGCCAAATTCAGCCCTGCTGGAAATTGAGACCTGTTTTGCATTGACTTCAATGGCAGTGAACGCACTTGCTTCAAAGATGCTCTTAGGTTGTTAAGGGTCATATGAATCCTGGCTATTGCACAGGACACATGAGCACAGCAGCCTGCCGCTCTCATCAGGCACTTCGTTCAGCCAGTCGGGCATTCAGACACACACGGCTCAACAGTAGCTGAAGAACGTGGTTTTGCACCTAAAAAGGTGAAAGATCATTGCTACAATGATAATAACTTCTGCCTAGGATGGCAGAAGTAGGATTCAGAGGGGTAAATTAAAATAGCAATTCTGCCTCTTTTGCTCAATCTGCATTAGAGTAAGTCAGGACCAAGAGTCCAGTTTCACCAGTGTGAAACTAGTGAGAATAGCAAATAGGATCTGCTGCCATCTGTTTTCTTCTGCAAAACTATGAATTTCCACACGAGGGAGCTTCTTGCCCATAAAGCTAATAGCTATTGCACAGGGTGCTTTCTCCTGAGAAAGGTGCCAATAGTGTTTCCCTATGGAGTTTGTAACTTCTGCAGATTCCAGCCTGAGTGCGCAGCTATGAATTACGGCAAGAGCCAGTAGTGAAATGATTAACAGATAATGATAGTTGTCAGAGCTTATTAACCACAATCATTTTCGAGACATATATGTAAATCTATATAAATATGTAAGTGTGGCGTATAATCTAAAACACACAGTTTAAATCTATAAACATTCCTGAGTTAATTTCACTATGGAAACGTTAGTTGCAACTTCCTGGCTTCACTGTGTTTGAATTCATATCCATGAACATTAATTTAGAATTAGTCTAAATATTTGTTGAGAATTAATCACCTGATAAATTTTGCTCTTTTTCATTTTTATGAATTATTCATCATCTCCTTTCCTTTCCGTTGCTGTGTTGGTTATTTACAAGAATTCAATTACTAGTTCATGCTAAAAAATCCAGTATTCCAGGTGACTTATAAAATGTTCCCCTAGGAAACTGGGCAGTGACTGTGTTATTTTTTGCCAATTTATCACCAATATTTTACGGTACTGTTTTTTTTCTTGAAGGACTCACTGGAATTTTTAAAGAGAGAATAAGGCGTAAGCAAATTCATACAACAAATATTTTGCAACAAATAATCTTTTCGGTATAGGTCTTAAATATATATCATGAATGCTCTATAAAGTGAAGTTGTTCTCTAAACTTGTATAAGTAAAAGCATGTTGGCATGAAAGTTTTGGAACAGTTGAGTATTACTAGGTGTGACAGCAGGAGTGAAGAGCTATCTAAACCAGCCCATCCAATGACTATTTATGAGCTCTCTTGGCAGTACCAGCGCAGCTGTGACCTGAAGGTATAGTTCTACGTTTCGGTTCTCTGCCATCTGAAGTAAACACAAAAAGCTCCTACTGCATAGGCCTATCGCAGAAAACACCTGATCTGCCAAAGGAAGAGAATGATTCTGTCCCTAGAAGGAATTTGCTCTAGGGTTGGCCTCAGGCAGCCTAGGCTGAAAGAAAAGCTATCAATTGCCAGATATTATGAAGATGAAAAAAAAGCTTTTAGTGGAATTCCCCGGTAGATGGGAGCAAGCGTTCTCAACGCTGGGCAGTGTAAACGGTAGGCAATTTGTGCGCATCCAGCACACAGAGGATTGCCTGGCAAACCTTATTGCCTGCCTTCAGTATAAGCAGTGGGAGAATACAGAACTGAATACAGTTTAGCTCAAGTCTAGTGCTGGAAGCCTTTTTTTGGCAGTCACTCATTAAATAAATCTTTGCCATAAAATTAAATTACTAGTAAACCTCTCTTCCCTTCCTACAACTCCCTAAATAGACACCACATTGAACTTCCCATTGGGTGATGTCTTTATACTTGTTATTATCAAACTCAGTTTGTTACTATTAATTAAATAACAAATCAGAAAATGACTTCTAAAATTATGAAAATGCCAAAGCAAAACCCCCAGAACAAACTCTACCGTGGTTATTAACTGGTACCAGCACTTGCAGAACATCAAAGGGTTCTCTAAACATAGACTTTCATCGGTGACGCTGCAAGCCTTAGTCTAATCTTTCATGATTTCCCATGCAGAAACATCAAAAGAGGAAGAAGAGAATAGCACTGTTCCAAAGCAACAGTGCTCTGTATGAGAAGTATATGTTTAGCTACAATGCACATAAAACATAAGTAGGATATTATTATTTACATGAGACATTTTAATAAACATCATCAGTAGCTCCTTTCCCTATAGGGAGCATGGATCTGTGCAGTTCAAAATCATGTCCAAAGCTCAGGGGATTTCTGGAAAAAAATGAAAAAGAATTAGAAAGTACCCAATGTATAAGTCTTCAAAGCAAGAAGATCATTTTATGTTCTTTTTTACTTACTGAAATACATTCTGCATATTTTATTGTTTCTACCATCTTGTTATAATCCATCCAAAGAATTTTCAAAGAACATTAAGTCCTACAAATAAACAATGAATGGTAAGGAAGGAGCAAAAAATGCAACAATTATTATCAAAAGCAATACTTGTAGGCTTTTGTTACATAAAGCAATTACATTACTCAGTCATTTTCTATTACTTTGCCAACTGAGCAACAAGAGTTTTGTAGGAGGCAATCGGGAAATCTAAAGTGTCATGAGAATTACATTTCTAACCTAATAAAACCAAAATATCTGAATAGTTGCTGTCTTAATGCAAACAATTACCAATGCATAATCTAAATAGTTTTGTCCTTTTCTTTTATATTCCCTGATCTAAGTATTCCAGATGATTTTGGCATCATTGCATGCTAATATTAACATATTAATTATGGCAAAAGAAAAACACACACATGGAGAAAACGTTTAAACACGGCAGGCAAATTGATATTTTTGATTTTTAAAATTGTGCCTCTCAGCTCCGCCCTTAGCCCTAGTTGGAAGCATTCTCCTTTTTCTATAGGATTCTTATCCCCTTTGGTCCCAGCTGGGGACCAAACAGAGGCATGCAACAGTAAATTTAAAGAGGGTTGGTTGAGGCTCAGAACTTGAGACCTGCACTGAGTGTTTTAAATTACCAATAGAGATAACATTCTCTCTTCTATTTTGGTTTGTACACCCATTAAAACGCAACAGAAAATGCCAGGGGCTTGGTAAATCTGCTATATACCTTGGGGTTTGATAAATCTGCTATATACTTTGATATTTGATCCTGCTACGCATAATATTAAACTACATATGGAACACTATTTAAATAGACAGCCAAAATAATAAAAGTAATAGAAACTTAAAGAGGTTCAGCAAAGAATAAAGAAATAAAAACAGCTACGAAAATTAGAAGTTTTTCAGTTGACTGTTATGTTTCAGGTATTGGTTTTGGCTTTTTTCTGCAGCACTCCTCTGCAGGATCACAGCTGTCAGTGAGTACTTTGGTCCCAGCGTGCCCTGTTCTACAGGGGCGCGTCCTCTTGATTTTGCATACTTACGATAAGAAAACAAGCACCAATCATTACTGCCTTGATTCTCACATCAAGATCTACTGGGACCTGGATCCCAAAGTTGGCAGTGTTGGTAAATACATCGTTTACGAATCCAGACCAGTACTTGGAAATTTTGCCAATTGTTGACATTTCATTGAGAGCTTTTACCTGCAAAAGTGAAAAAAGGAATAAACCTCAGTGTAAATAAAATCAAATATACACTGATTATAGTTCAACCCTGACATGCAGAGTATGCTGTAGTTGTCAGGGTAGTCTTTTATTCTCATCTCTTAAATGCTCTATAATGTCATATTTACCTACAGAATGTCACACAGGAAAGGTTCTCTTACAAATTTTGAAACATCATTAGGAGCTGTCTGAAAAGTAGGGGAAAGCCATTGCGAAAGTTTATACCGCTTTTCCTCTTTCACAATTTTTTTTCTTTGCCTTGTTCTTCTGACATGCTCCAAGTCACAGCAGCACCATTTCTGTGGCCCACTGTACCTCCTGTCTGATGTAGCCATCTCCATGTTTCTCATGGTATACTGAAACGTGGAACAGCACCCACTGGCGTGTCTTGATCTGGCTAATGATCAAAATAGAAGCTCTTTTATGATTCTTTAACTTGGGCAAAACACTTCGTTCATATCAGAAAATTCTGCCCATGATTTCTTCTAGCTTCTCCCCTTTTCCCTCTCCTAAATATCTCAATGGCTTTCCAGAATTACTTTTCTCCTGAGGAATGCTATTAAATGGATGTAGACATAGTGGACAGTAACACTGTTCTTTGTTCTCAGTCTGAGAGCAACAAAATGGATTTAATGCCACAGTCTTCAAGGGACTGTGAATCAGATACTAGTGACTGTGTATGGGATGAAATCCTGAGCCTGTTCAAGTCAACAGCAGAGCTCTCATGGACTGCAGTAGGACCAGGACTTCACCTAGGGAAATGTGGAGATGTTTTCTTCCTGGAGGTAATTTTCACTCCTATCTTGAAAATATCTGTAGGAATCCGAGTCTAGAGGCTCAGAGGGACTGTGACGCACACTGCTGCCATTCTGTTCCCAAATTATAACAGTTTACGTAGTATTTTTAATGATAGGGCATTTGAGTGTGACATTTATGCAGAGCAGTAAAACTTTAAAAATTGTAACACTCATAAGAAACATACCTCAAAGTCAACATCTTCAAAACAGCCACAAGTTGCATATGGGCCAATTATTTTTAGTACATCTTCTTTACTTTCATTCTGTATAGTAAATTTAGGCAGAAAGGGGTCCCACTTCTGGACAACATATCCAGCTACTGTGCCTGGTGGAGACTGAACTTCTAACTATCAAACAAAACAAAACCAAATCTAAAAATTTAGTTTTATGTAAGTATGTAAAAGTCCATAATATTATATTATTTATATAATTACAAAATATCTGTTTACTGAGGATAATGACATATAATTTTACTGAACCATGAAACAGGTATTAAAAAGGCTCTATAATAGTATTTTCAAATATACTGAACAATAATAAGCTCAAAAACTACACCAGAAGTTAACATCTTACATATGGCATAAGATTTGAGAAAAAACCCATGCACTGCAATTTAATTGCAATTAGTGAATATCCTGTAGGATTTTTATACAGTTATTTGGCTACCTAGGGACCTTTCTTCCGAAAAACTTAAAGTAATATTGAGAAAGTAGATGAGTCTATGATACACCTTCATAAAATAAGATGCGTGAGTAAAGGAGAGTCCAAAATAAGGAGAAAAGATCTAATTTTCTAAAGGATCTGTGTTTTTCACTAAAAGCAGTGTATTTCTAAGAGTTCTGCAATTTCCTACAGACATATGGCCTTACAAAGGTACAGACTAAAGGAGCGATATGGTGCTACTTCTTGATAATACCCACACATATTAATGGCCTCCAGGAATTTTCCATCTGTCACATTCTTTGGGATTACAGTGGGTGGCTTGCACTTGTAGATGCTAGTCTGTGTCAAGCCAGCAGCATTTTAGGGTGCTACTTCACTGTTTGGAGAGGAATCCGTATCATCAGTTTGAGGCTTTATTGGGATGGCAGGAAAGCAAGAGACCACAAGAGAGGGAGGAGACAAGCTGGGAATGCTACTTGTGAGAGGATTTTGCTTATGAATAATTACTTGTAAATGAAGCACTTATTTGTAAAAATCTTTTTTGAAAGGAAATGAAAGAAAGCAGCCTGGTAGTCAGTATATTGTTTTGATTCTTCTCTTAATTGTAATATTGCCTTGCCACATGAAGAAGTCAGAACAATAACTATCCACCACAGGGTTCACTGGTCTGGCAAGTGGGCATGAGAATTCCTCCCTGACAGAGGTCGCGTGAGGCTTTATTAATGCTATTCACATACACGGAGATGCTTGGACAAAAGGCAATTAGGATTCGCTCACCTCTTGCAGGAAGCATGGGAACCAGCAGCTGTTGCATCTCAAGGGTCTATTCACTGTAATCACTTCTCGGCCCGTGTTATCAGCAATCCTTATGGTGAAAGACCGTATAGGCGAACAGAAGTTACGATCAAAGCAACCATTTTCTTCCACTGCAAAGTAAACTCTTTGTCCCAAATGGTTTTTTATTTCATATTTGCTGCAGGTTTCTCTGCCGAGTATGGCTAATAAAGCAAAACAAGTAGTCTGTTACCTTAGTATGGTGTTAGAATTAGAGTTAGCCTTTACCAAGACTCACCAAATTCAGCATTGGATACAAGTTTATAGCGCCAGTCTTCTCTGTAACATATATTCTAAAGTAATCAATGGAATGGACAGTTTAAAAAATATTTTGAAATGATGACAGGAAGAAAATATACAATAACAATGAAATAATGAATTAAAGCTAATTTCAGATCCGTATTTTGAAGGAAAGCTTAGTCCAAAGACTTCGGGTTGCTGCATCCTGAAGCTCATATCACAAAACAGAATTCACATCCTAAGTTTTGGTTTGGGCTTTTTGTTATTACATACTCTGTGAAAAGAAATAACATGAAGTTATTCCACTTCAGTGACAAAACTCTCTCGGAGAGGTAGCCAAGAATCAGGCCTAAAACATTTTGAATGGGAGAAATAATTTAAAAAAGATTTTTCACTTTTCCAATCTATGGAAAAATTTAAACCTGAATAACTTTGAGGGAAAGGTTTTGGAGTTGGAGTAGATGCTCACCGCAGCCTCTCCCTCCTTGTTGATTTGCTGCAGAACAGATATAAACAAAATAAACTTTCACCATTCTAACAAAACATTACAGGCCTGATGCACGGTCAGCGAGAGCACCTGCAGGGACTTCAATGAGCCAAAAGCAAGACTTAAAATTGTTTGAGATAGCTCTGTGCCAGCACTATTAAAGAACAATGAGGATCACACTGTACCTTCAAGAAGCTCCACCTGCTGATGAATAATTATTCGGTCCAGCTGTTTAAAAAAACAAAAAAAAACAAGATGATGGATTTTGGAAAGGTCTGGAGCTGTCACAGTGATCACCTGTACTTTTATATTACTCATCTCACTCGTGACAGGATTTCTTTCTTTCCAGAGGTGCATGAACTGAATGGCCTAAGGGTATCTCAAGTCACAGTTTAGACATCTCACTGAAGTGATGGCTGAACCATGTGATATTATGCATTGCAATCATGTAATTTACTTGTGCATCTGAAGAAAAATTAACTTCACTGGGGGAATTAGGAGGCCAACAGCAATGGAAGAAATGTATGTGAGGAGGAGGATGTCATTCTCTTTCCTGTTCCTCCCTTCATGTTTTGGCAAAGGCTGAGCACAGTCCCCACTTGCCATACCCCAAAGATAAGGGTACGTACTGAGCATCAAGACGGCGCAAGAACAAGGTACATTTAGGCTCAAGCTCAAAATGCATCACAGCCATCTCTCCAAAGCGCCCTACTGGAGCAGGCAAGGGTCAGGCTATAGACCAGGAGGTGGCCTGGCCATAAGATAAACACATTCGATTTAAAGCTCTGATTTCAACTGTCCCAGGATTCTGCTCCCAGAGACTGCAGCTAGCAAATCAGTAGTCACTACAGGGCACCAAAACAAGCAAAATAGTTCCCTAGAGAAACCCTCAGCTTACTGAAACTATCCTCATCTGTGAGTTGATTACAAATGCAAGAGAGAAAACTGTTGGCCATGATAACTAGCTTTTCTGTGATTATTGTCCTTCAAATGTTACTCTATTCTAGAAAGCAGTCAGTAATATCATAAAACCAATGAGACTTAATTTAAATTTTTCAGTTTTATGTGACTTTTTAATGTGTTTTCTGTGACAATTTAGGCCTTGCTAATTTCTTTTCCTTAAACTCCTGATGGGCATCAAACACTTGGCACAGGATTTTGCCATTAGTCACAGCTGAAAACAGAAAGCACACAATGACCTTCTGAGATTAGCATGTCACAACTCTCCAGTGCTTGTATATTTTAAAATTGATAAATCTTGCCTGGTACATATTCAAACTGTTGCAGCCAATTGTCAGTTCTAGTCCTCTCCAGCAGCTAGTCCAGGCTGTAAAGAAAAGCTGATAAGAACTTCCTTAGCCTTTTCATTTGTTTTTGGGATGTGCATGCAAGTAATTAAAAGAAAAAATAAAAGTTATTTGGACTTTAAATCTTCTCCCAGGAATCTCTACTGCTTGTAATTTGAATTTCATGAGGCCTAGGAACTCTTGGAGCTCATGGGAAGTTAGTACAGAGCTCTGCTGACAAATAAAAGGCAGAGTAAGCAGGTTAAAGATGTCATTTTAATATTGATTTGCCCAATGTAGATTTTTTCCATAGAAAACTGGAAAATTGATGAGCACCAAGTGTTAAAAGCTTAGAGTGATTTTGTTCTGTGTATTAGTCATGTACAATATACAGACAAGTTTAGACAATGTGGCAAGTGCAGTATCACTTCTTAGCCTTGCTTGCTTTGCCATTACACTGGATTCTGTACAAAGGCTATCCTGATGCATCTTTGACTGGGGAAACTGTGGATTAAGGGAATTTTTCAGTTGCATTTAAAAGCACCCTAAAGCCTTATGATTTGGAAGGATCGATGAGTCCTCTTGACCTAAGCAATGTTAAAATTCCTACACAACTGAATATGTCTGATCAGTTTCGTGGCTATTACATCTGATCAGTCTAACAAAGTCTAAACTAAGAAGCTTCTTGCAGAACTGTGTAAGCCTGGATGTCAGCAACTACACTGATGTACTACTTGGAAAATACTTCCCTGAGTTCTCTTATCAGGCTCCTTTGATTTTCATGATGGACACTGCACAATTACTAGAACTATGGCTGTGATCTGGAAGATGATAATGATTTGGTGGAAATACGTCTTGTTCAAAGAGCATCACTTTTGTGATGATTATAGAAAGCATGGTATCAGTTTACCAGGGTAGGAACAGCTTATCACTGGACTCTGATGTACCTCAGAGGACCGGATTGCTCCTCAGCCTCTTCCACTGACTTCAGGTGCGTACTTGCAGAGTGAAATATTGCTGTCTGACCTTAAAGTATAGGACAGAGACATTTTCCTTTCCTGTCATCCAGTACTATATGCTGAGTACTTGAGCTCCTGTTTAGGATAAGACAGTGAATCTCACAGAGAGATCCCTACAAAGTCCCTGCTTTCAGAGGTAAACATGGTCTTATTAAGAAATATATGCCACTTTCCCTAATAAATCTATCCAGCTATCTTCACCACTCCTGGTGGAGGTAATCCCAGAACCTCATGCCCTTACTCCAGCAGATGTGGTGATATTGGCACAGACTTATGGATTCCAGTAATAGGGCTTTAAGGTGCACTTTAAAGCAATATTTTGATTAACAGCCAGACCTAATCTTGGTGAAGTTAAACCTCAATGAGGATTTCATCATTCATTCTCAAGCATTCAGCTCTAAGCGTTTTGCTTGGGGATATCGCATTTGGTTAAACGCTTCTGAATGAACAATGAAAAGCCTCAACAGAAAATCTACATTTAATTGTTCACTGGCAAACCTGGTTATGCCAGAAAGCTAAGCTTAGAACTGCAAATACGCTGACCACTCTTTTCAGACTGCAGAGAAAACTGAGGCTAATCAGAGAGCATGGTCTGGGAAGACCATGAGAGTTACAGCACAGGCAGCATGACTGTCAGGCCAAGAACAGGCATGAAGTCTTAGTTCTAGTTATGGTTCTGATAGTGACCTGCTTTTTTGTGTTTATGTCAGATGTAAAGCATCTATAAAACAGAGTAATAGAATTTGCTTGCCCGCATGGTATGGATGAGTCTGAGGTATAGTTCATATTTGTACAGGAGACTGAATATGTAACCTACTGGTATTCGCTATTGCCATCACTTTTAGACTAAAAAACGTAGCTCTCACAGTCCATGAACAAACGCTCATAGAATTGACAACACATATCATTTTGTGCGTTGGCACTATGAAATGGACATCATAACTCTACATGAAAGATGGTTTCTGAATGGTTTCCTGGTTTTATTAGCTAAGTAGCATCAGTTCCAAATATAAAATACATTCAATTCCTGTTTCTATAAAAAATCTGCTGAAATATATATTTAAAAAACAAATGTTAACAGAAATAAATATTCCCTAGCACCATCACGTGCAAACACAGAAGTGTAACACATCAGTATGAAAATAACCTGACTACACTGAGGGCCTGATTCTGCCCCACCAGAGCGTAGGAAGTATTACTAAGCCAGCCATATGTGAAATGCAAACTCGAGCTGGTTTCAAAGTAGCAGCAGGACTCTTTTTAAGGGAAAAACAGGCTGGAAGATAAGAAGCTGTTATGAAATAGAGTAGCTGAAGCTACTGGAGCTGCAGCCCACAACCAAGGCTGATCAGCAATCTGCGCTCTAGGAGCTGCGAGGTTTCCCAAAGGGCTGACGGACAGCTGCACGTTTAGCAGTAGGGCTGAGAAGGCTTTCGCACTCCCTTTCCCTCCTCTACGCATGGCCTACTCACTAGCTCACATTTCCATGTACCTCCTTGTCTTGGGCATCAACATATTCTGCTCTCACAACCCAGCTCAGAGCAGGTGCTGGTTTGTAGCCACCCCAGCTACTCACAAAGTTGTTTTCTTGGGAACTTGCCTCCCAGGGACCTTACCTCTAACCCAGAGAGTAGTCTCATCGCGGGCACAAGCAATTTGCCCAGAACACCTTCATGTGCCTCAGTGTGTGTTATAAGGAGGTGACAATACCTTCAGCACAGACTATTTTAATCTTTTTGAGGTCAATGAGAGCTTGATAGTGGTTTCCCTGAGAATTAGGTCTTAAGGACCTGGAAGGGAACTGGGGGGATGATAAGTGGGGTACTAGCATGACCTAGAACAAGTTAGAGAAGGAAGAAAACCATTCTTTTTGAACATGAAGAGTTGCATGCATAAATAAAGCAGCAAGTCTGCCCTATGCTCCTTATTTCAGAGTAATACGAAATACTTAAAAATACTCCCCCCCATCTCCACCTACTCCACCCCAAGAAAAAAGATATATATACACACATTATATATATACAGACATATACACACGCACACACACACACACACACATATATATATATCCCACTCCAAACTTATCAAAAAATCTATAAAAAAACAAAATAATTCTAACATTTGGAAAGATTCAGGACCTGGCTCAGGTACTCCAGACCAGGTGGCAAATTATGAGAGTGTGATGTTTGCTCCCAGGCACTCGTCACTTCAACAGGCTTATTCTGCTCAGGAAGATCAGAAGAACCAGGGAGATAATCCTTAAAGATTGGGTTTATTTGTCCTTGAGGTTCTATGAAAAGAGAGAGAAAAAAAAAATCAGAAACGAACAGGGGCAAACAGCAACTTGCTGCTTGGATCAAAACTGCAACAATAATTTCACATTTCACACACATAGAGGGTGTGACTCTATTAGTATTTCAGTTGGGATCAGGAGTGAGGCCCTGAAGTGCGTCTCCTGATGGTCCCACATTTACAGTGCTTTGGTTTGCTTTGTGAAGCAGTTTTTGAGTATGCGAACTGGGTTCCTTTCAGATGAAACTAAATGAGGAGACATGACCTTGGATCGTACCTAATTGACTCCAGCAGCCAATGAGCACTCGGTTGGTGGGACAAGACTGGAGCTAGACTGAAGTCACTGGCAGTTGGGCCTCAAGATTCTTGACACAACAAGCTCTTTCACCCTGCTCCCACTGAGCTGCACTACTTGCTAATGTAGACCAGGGCTCCTTTCTAGGATCTTAAATACTCATATATTTTCTCTTAATTAAAGATAATCTTTTCAAGGATCTCAGATTCCCAAAGCTGGATGTTATGGCCCTGATACCAAAGGCTACAGCCCCTCCCTCCCCCGCATATCATTCATTATTATCTTAACGGAAAAGAGGTCAGATGGCATTAAGCTGTGTTTTCTGGTTTGCTACCGCAGACACTTTTTTTGTTTAAGGACACAGTGCTGGTTACCTTGAGTGGTATTACTGAAGGTAACAAAACTATTTTCTGTTATAGGCACTTACATGCCTACATCCATTCATACGCACAGGAAGAACTACCTTAGCCGTTTGATTCTGAACAAACTCATATTGGTTTTACTATTAGCGTCTTTCCACTATGTTCAGTGCACTAGCTGTAGTGGCACAAGAGCGAGCAAGCTGAAGCTCTCTGCACATAAATAGCAAATCCTGTTACTAAACTGAGCGCCCCTGCACTTAGATAGTAAAGTGGTCCCCAAACAGATTATTTTTTTCTCATATGTTACAATACTTAGGCACAATGGCGTTTGAGGTCCAGAAGGAATTTTGGCTGCAAGTCTGAAGTTCTCTTTTGCTGTTGCGGGTTTAAATGAGATCCTTTAGCATTATGTGAACTCACTGTAGCTCATTCACTGTTTAATCATATTTTGATCTTAATTTATCTTTGCAGCCACTGCTTTCTTTCAAAGTCTGAGACCACAGGAAGAAGTAATAACCTGTTTGAATTTGTAGCTGGCTTTTAAAAATGTATAACTGAGTAATAAATATTTTATATGCTCTTCTGCATCATTTTACTGCACAGGGTTCTGTTACTGCCGTTACTCTTGTTGTTACATGAAATGTCATGAAGTTCTATTGGCCAAGTGTTAGTGTTATTCTTGAACAATAATAAAGAGAAAAAGGATAACAAACTGCAGTTCTACCTGTCAAATTTTAGCTATACAAAAATCAAATAGTAAATACATTAAATATTGATGAAAATCTGAGCTATTCAGAGGCTTTGTCTATTTTTGTGGATGTTTCCTGTTTCATTTATGGTACAGGAACACTTTTAAAAGTTACTGTAGGATACAGTGAGTGTTCTATATAATCGTATTTTGTAGAGTTACTAGTTCCTGATAGAAGAACATTAGCACGTTCCCTCATTATGAAATCTCTACATTACACAAGATTATTTAGCTGCTGCCGCTAACTACTATACGTTAAAAATAGACATAACCAGATCTCCTTCACAATGGCTACAAATTAAGCAAACCCTCCCTCGCAAGGGAAAAATGGGTACTCCAAAAGTGCACCGATGCTCTAACCCCTGCTTGCTGCTGTAGAACTTTTCGTGCTGTAAAGGCAGATCGCGTTAAGCGCTTTTTGGGGGGAGGCAGGAAGGGGAGAGGGGTAAACTCTTGGCAAGCACAGACACACACTGCTGGAACTCCATGGGCTACCATTTGCCTCTGTGTATTGTAATGGAGCTCCGCGACCTCTGTGGAGTTGCATTCATGTTAAGAAAAGATAGATTTGGGTCCTTCTGCTTAGTTTTAGTATTTGACAGCATAGGAAAATGAATTTTGAAAACTTTTGAGATTAGCATACTACAATGTTTACCTTTAGTCCTAACAACCCAACTGGCTGCAGCTAAAGACAATATGTGATAAGAATGAATCCAAATTGGACTGATCTGATTAAATTCAATTGTTCTTCAGCAATTTCTTTTTGCTACATGGTTATCATGACTTTGGCCAGTGTTGAAAGTGAAAAGCATTTGCTGATATGGTATTCCCAAAGCCAAATATGAAAAGTGTTCAAAAATGGTGTTAACCTCAGATCAGTACATGCCCTTCCCATACATTCTGTGCTGATCGGTTTAAGCACAAGGATAGAAACACAAAATTTTCTTATTCAATGCAGATGCTAACATTTTGTAACATAGTTTGTTCAAATAACGTTCTAGTATAGATTTTAGTCTCCTTGGGATCCTCTTGAATGCTGAAAAATTAAAGGAAGCCCAAACAACCGTGTGTTCGCTGCTGTGGTTTTAGCCTGAAACTCATTTCATCAGACTGCTGATTGCTGGAAATGTACAAGACTGCAGTTTTCTGTAAACATGATCTAAAAATACAGACTATAGATGCACTTACCTTGAGAGGCCATGAAGCTTCCTGAGTTACTTCTTCAAAGGAAGCCAGGTTAAAAGAAAAGGCTTCTCTTGTTGCAGGAAAGAAAAAAAGAGCACAGCATGCACAAAACTTCAGAAGGTGTCTGTCTACTTCATATCAGCTTACAAAAGAACTGGAGGAAATGTGTTGCCTTTCTCATGTTCCAGAACACTGCATTTTACGTCGGTGGACAACAGGGGGAGATGATGCTAACAAACAAGAAAACCATTATTCATTTCAAGTCATTTGCACCAATGGAAAGAGGAGAAGCGTTTTGCGAATATGAAAAGGCAAAACTTCACAATGTACCCACTAGCTAACTGAACACATTAGACCATAAAAATCTCCCTTATAACGCATGTATGTATTCTGAGACTATACAAATTCAGTCTTTCTAATTCAATATTTATGTTTCCATTTCTTTAGGCTACCCACTAAAGACAGAGGAGCTAATTACCTGTACTTCTCTATTGCTGGCCCACAGTCAACATTTCCACTGCTCAGAGCAGAAAGAGCTGTTTTGGATTTCTCATCATATTCCACTCATGTAGCATCAGCCTCCCCTGTAAGGGATGTTGCTCCTGCACTGAGTGAGAGCCAGAATAGGACTCTGTACATAGCCCCCCAACCCCCTGCACCATGCAGGGCTCTGCTAATCTCTGTGACTAATCTCTGTGAGATGCTTAAGCTGAATTTGGAGAATTAACACAGATTGTCTACGTTTTGCTTCAGATAAGCGCAGTCCAGATCAGAACACAGCACATGTAATTACCTGCATTGCACTGAGAGAAAAAGAGGAGGAGAGAGAGTAACCTTGACTTACCCGCTCATATTTCTACCTCAAGTGCCCAAGTCGCCATGGAGATCATGCACATGTGATCTGCAGGCTGATATGATTCATGAGTGCAAAAATGGCAGAGCCTATGCACAGAGCCAGGAGGATCGGAGTGAGGTATTGGGACCATATTCTGCTCTCTCAGTTAATGCAAGCCCTACTGGTTTGAAACAGTCCATAGAAGGATATCTGCGCAAATTTAATTCCAGGGTTTACGGTTCAGGACATTACTGATGAGGATCTTTGAAGGAAGAATAAACAAAAAACTCCTTCTAAAGCAAAAAGCGTACAGAAGCTGATTTTTATTGACTAAATGCAAAGGCATATGTAAAAATGCAGCTATGCAAAGCTTCCTGGGAGTTTATAGTTGCTCACTCAAGAATTCACGTGGTGTGGTGGCAGGGCAACCTTATCTAGCATCCAGGTATCCTGCTGTGCTCATCCCTGGAAACACAGCTTGAAGGGAGAAGGCAGCCTATAGACAAAAAAGTCTTTGGTAGCTGAAAAATGCCACACTAAATAAATCCTTCTGGGCTGGCAAGAAGTTTGACATCACTAAAAATAAAGATTAAGGATAACTAAAATGTTTTGCTTCCTTTCTCCTTGTCAAAGATGTGCTCATCTGTAACATAGGATCTAATCTAGAGAACACACACAAAACTTAAGCTTCCTAAAGAAAAAGGGAAGCTCCTGATAAGTACAATAAACCTAACTTTGGAAACAACGGATGAGAAAATTTCAAAAAGCAACTGAGATGAGAAGGCACCCACATACTTTTAATAAAAATGGAAAAAGAGTTACTTTACCTCCTAGAAAACCAAACCAAAAAGCCAAATAATTCTTTTGACGCAATAAAGCAAATATAGTACAGTAGGAAAATAAGGTCCCTAAAATAGACAAAATGCACACTAAAACCTTAACCTTAAGCTGAAAGAAGATGTCTCATACCTTTAAAAACCATTTTTGAGAGGGCCAAATACCTCACTCACCGTCTGCCCCAAGAAGGATACATGTGAGCACTGCTCTACTGTACCATACTCTGACACACTTGTTTTGTGCGTACAAGTGATGCTATAGCCTAGCAGCTAACCCACAAAGCAGACCCAGAGCCAGCTCCCAGTACCAGCTAAAGTAGTTTTTCAGTTGAAAAGATAGGCCTGTGCTCCTGTTCCACATACAACTTCTGCAGGAATTGCAGACTGCCTGCAGAAATGGTCCGGGACTAGCCGTGTTTCTTCCCACAGTGTACCTCCCCTGCTGAGACGGTGCATAGGATGGCCTTGTACAGAGGGTTTGCCTGGACTTGCAGTGATCTGGGAACAGCATAGCCTCCAGGTGCTGGCTGTGTGGTGGGCTGAGGAGAAACTTGAGGCCACAGGTTTATCTCCGGGACATTCAGTTAGGACTGCGGGCATTTGGGGCTGCCAGACAGCACATAACAGTTCAGGGACTACTAAGCCTCTGCTGTTCAGATGGCTTGGAGTCAAGAAATGAAATGCAAAGACTTTTAAACCAGACTGGAGAGTGGAAGGGGGCCCCAGTGATAATTCTCACAGATTTGAAGAGTAAAGGTTGATAAAGAGCAGAGCCTGAAATTCATATCCCCCACTGCAGAAAAGCAGGGAATTCCTAGCTTTGTGCTCCCCAGTTAGCAGCGGTTAGCTGCTTTTGGGTCAGCGAGCAGATCAGAGAGGCAGGGAGGGAAGAGGAAGCAAGCTGAGAGCAGGCCCAGGAGCAACCAGGAGATCCCTGCGCCCACGTGCGAGCAGAGCCAGGGCTCGGGAGCACCCAGAGGAGCTGCTGGGCGGGCTGCCGAAGCAAGGGACAGCAGGGAAGAGGGCAAGCCACAGGCGTGCAGGAACCACATTTCACCGCTCTGCTGCTCATGAAATGAAACATTTCCCTGAAGCAGATCTGCCCCAGAGAACTAATTTTCTGGCATTATTTACAAAATTGCAGGAAATAGGTAATAGAAGAGATGTAAAGCCTGGCTTGAAGCACATTTTATGTTTTTCCTCCTCTCTTTTACAAAATTCCTTCTCTTTTCCAGTGTTTTCTTTC